CCTTCCGGGGGGGGTGGGCTGGGGTGAGCGGCCAGGCAGAGCCGAGCCCCCCGGCTTTCCCGGGCTGCCCCCGCCCCAGCACCCCTTGCTCCTCCACCCGCAGCCGCTCCCCTGGCCGTGCCTCTGGCTTCTCTGCTTGTGGGCAACCCAGGGGCCGGTTTTGGCCAGTAGCACTTGTCCCTCGAGGGGCAGCTTTGCCGATCCAGCAATTCCCTGGGCGGAGAAGCCACACGGATGGGGGGGAGACCCGCGTTTCTCCGTGCGTTCCCCTCGTCGTCGCTCCCTCCTCGCTCACCGGTGCAGCCGGGTGAAAGCCCTCGCCCAGAGGTGCTGGGCTTCACGTGCTGAACTCAAAAGCAATTGATTTTTTCTAGTTCTCCTATTTATTGACCTCCTTTAGAAGGGCTATCTTTTTATTGCCGTGCAAACCTTGGTGTTTCTTTGGAGTCTTCTTTCCGTCTGGGTTGGGTGCTTGGTGGTTTTATTTCCGCCCTTAAAGCTCCCCGGTCTGAGTTTTGGGGACGGGGAGTGTCGTGATGTGGGAACCTGGTGTCTGTAAATACTGTGTCTTGGGTTGGTGTAGCTCGTGGCGGAGGCTGTGGGGGAGCAGTGGGATGGGGAAGGGCTGCTGCCCGCAGCACGGCCGGGCACGGAGGGGCCCGTCGGCACCCGAACACCGCGCGGCAGCACTTCCTCCCCAGGGGAGAGCTGTAACCTGCCCTTTTTTCCTGGCTACACACCTCACCTGGAAAAGATTTAACATTTATTACCAAAAATGTTGTGTTTTCTTTTTTTTAAAAGAAGTTGCTCAATGAATAAACAACCCTTATCCACCCTTCCTGTTTGTCTGTTCCATCCTAACGTGCTCGGGAAGTGCAAGTGGGAGTAGCGCCTGCCAGAAAGAGAGAAAAATGCTGATGGGGGGAGATTTCCTGGCGCTCCCGGCAGCGTGCTTGGCTCCCAGCTTTGTTCTGCCTCCAGGCATGGCCAGGGCATTGCAAGGGAAGCCCTAAAACCGCTGGGGAGGGGAGAAGGGTGGAGCAAGTCACCACCCTTCATCAAAGAACCTGAGTGGAACAGGACGCCAGCACCCCACTGTCACCCCTCAGCCCCAGCCGCCTGCGGCTCCGGGGATGTGCCAGGGCAGTGGTGGCTCCAAGTTCGTGGGCGAAGGGGTTTCAAGCTGCTCCATCTCCCAGCGCGGTGCCAGTGTGCTTATCTCTGCTGTGACTGTCTGGCAGAGACACCACACCAGCCAGGACAGCAGGACTGTCCCTCCAGGGAGAGGGACAGTTCCTGGGAGCTGTGGCACAGCAAGGAGACCAAAGCAGCATCCCAGCAGCAGCAGCTCTCCCCAGAAGGGGACAGCAGTGCTGATTCCAGCTGCTCTCTCCAGCTCAGCCCAAGTCCCTGCTCCCCGAGCCATTCCCATACCCCACATCCACACTGGGATGAGCACAGCAGCACACGCCTTCCCCTCCCTCCCAGTCATCACGGTAAGGAAGAGCAGATCCCTGCAGGAGAAGCTCATCCCAAGTCCTGCTGGGCATTGATGGAGGGGAGGAGGAGGGGCTGAACTGGGGTCACGGTTTGGGACCTGCGCAAGCTCCAGCACAGAGCCCAGCTTGGGGCCAATAGGCACCCGGGAAGCTGTCAGCCAGGGGTTACGGATGGCAGATTCCCGGCCTCCCCAGCTCCTAACAGACAGGTTACAGAGCGCGGGGGTAGAGGCTGCTCCAAGGGAGTCTGTAAATACAGCTCAGCCTGCCTGGCCCATCTGGGCTCCCCTGCAGCGCTGCCTTCTGCAGCATCGTGCTCACCACCCGGCCTCACACATCTGCTTTGAACGGAGCGCTGTATCGGTAGGTGAGGGGCTGCCTGCCCGAGGGGGCTCTGGTCTCCGTGGGAGATCGTGTGTCAGGAGCGGCAGTCAGCGGGCGAGAGCAACGCTCCCTCCACAGCAGAGCTCGTTAAGTTAATGTCTATCTGAGAGAAGTAAGTGATGTGACATCTCCTCCTGCAGCCCCGGATGAGCTTTCAGGGATGACAAAACACAGGGGGTAGGGTTTTATTCAGCACAGTAAGGAATGGACATGCAAATAAGGCAGGGTTGTCTAACCGAGGCACTCACTTCCCAATCCCAAACACCACATGGCCGAAACTCTGGCCTGAAACTCTGGGATCACTTAGAGACAAAGCCTGTCCCAGCAAAGATGCTCACCGACTCCCTTCCTCCTTTACCCTACACACCAGGACAGCTTTCCCCGGGAAGGAGGGCCAGGGAAGAGGTGTCACTGACCAGCAGAACTGGGCCAGGAAAGGAAGAGGGAGATGAGAGGGTAAAAACCTTGGCCCTGAGCGCTGCTGGGCAGTGGCAGCAAACCTCAGTTTATAGTGAGGACATCGCTCTGAATCTCGTGGCTCAGCTGGGTCTGGAGGTCGCTCAGTTTCTTCTTCAGGCCGGACAGCGCGGAGAGAACGATGGTTTCCGGGCGCAGAGAACCACAGGACTCCACGTTGTAATAAAACCTGAGGTTACAAGTCAGGAGGATATGTCACCACCTGCTCTGCGTGGAGGTGTGAAACCAGAGAGCACCCACGGAGCGGTTCCTGCTCATCCTGACCCAGGTCAGAGTCATCCCCAACCATCCTCATGTATTATCCCTGACACAGGGAGCTCTGTGGGGAACCCCAACCACCAGCATTCTTCACCACCCAACTGGGCAACAGCCAGCGCTGCCCCACTACAACCACCACCCCAACACTCATGACTCCAGAGTACTAAATTTCTCAGCACAGCACCCACGAGCCAGCAGAGAGGGGAGGGAAAGGGGGTACTGCCAGCAACCTACACACGACACCCACACGGCTGAACAAATATCCTGAGCCATCTTCCCCAGCAGGCCTCACACTTCACCGAGTGCTGCACTACCCTACTTGGTAACACAAACTCAGGAGAGCTGTCTAGAATCTCCCAGAGGGGAAAACCTGCCAGACCTACGTATATCACCAGTTAATTCCAACTTCTGCCCTGCTTTTCAGGGAACACCAGCTCCCTGGGCTGTCAAACTTCAGCACAGAGCAGATACTCTTGTATTGACAAAAGCCAAAGAGACGCACCCAGCCAGTGCCCCTGTTTTCCAGCTGTGGCAGTGCACTCAAGCTTCCTACCTCTCTGGCTTCCCGTTGGGGTCGTAGGGAGCCTGAGCATCCTCCTCGTCGATCTCCGAGTACTCACTCTTGGGCCTGCAATCAAAGAGCAGGAAGGTTATCAGGGAGCTGACGCTCCAGTTTGGCCCCGCGGAGCCCAGGCACTCTGCGGCATTGCTCAGCCGCAGCGAGCAACCGCTCGGGCTCACCCACAGAGGCAAAGGAGCAGGCATCGAACACCAAGTCACAGAAGAAAAGCTCAGCCCCATGTTTCCCTTTCTAGCTCCGTGTTAATGCCCGAGTCACCTGGCAGCATTGGAGGAAGAGGATCAGCCCTGCTCTGCCCAAACTCATGAGCCCTGTGTGCGGTACCGCAGCTCCACACACCTACGTTGGCACAATCCATCAAGTGCTTACAGTGAAGGGATGTCAGTGCCTGAAGGGACTGTGTTCGTGGAGCCTGGACACTGTTTATGGAGCAACGGACCTCATATTACCTTTTCTTTCTGCTTTTCACCAGGCCAAGAAAACACCGGAGCACCCCAGGGGCTGTGCACCACAGCTGAGATGGGAAGGGTCTGGTCAGCTTGTGCCCAGCAGGAAAAAACCTCCTGTACTTCCAACACCAGCTGCATCCGTGAGCAGCTACTTCCAACACCACCCATCCTAATGTCCTGCACCCCTACACACATCGCTACTGCAATACCTGTGGCATCAGCCAGGCCAACACATCTTTCTACCTATTGCATCCCTCAGCTTATAGAACATCACCTGGAGAGACGGGTTTGGAAGTATTAAATCCATGTAAGAAAAGCCAAAGCCTTGAGCTGCCCGAGAAGGCAGCACAGAAAATCCTGTGCCCGCTAAAGTCTCCTGTTCGCCTTATTCTGCGCCAGCGCTGTCAAGAAAGGCTGGTCCTGGAACCGTCTCATCAGCTGCCTTCAATAAAACTGCACTTCCCAAATAAATCCTCTGTCCGTAACACACCACAGGGAGACAAAGTGTTAACGGTCTTCACCATACTTGCAGAACCACAACCGAAAACAGGGCAGGGGTTTCCACCACCACACCAGCTGCTTGGAGAGTCCAGCTGCATGCCAGCGCTCCGCTGACGGCCTCACCAAGCAACCAGCATGAAAATCCAAACCAAACCCAACAGCTAGGCTTGGACAGCAGAGGCTTTTGTCTCTGTATGGTCTCCACGGGGAGCCGGATGAACTTGGAAAGACAGACGGACCGTCAGGGAACAGGCAGCAACAGTGGCAATCAGTCTTTGGGGTTTTTCTAACTTTGACTTATATTTTATCAAAATCTTCCCCCAAAACTGTTTCCAGGAAGCCAGCCTGCAGGACAACACACCGGGTTCCCGAAGATGTGGCTGACTCTGCCACCCAACACAAGAACCCCCGCCAGCAGCTGCCTTGGGCCACGCAGCCCGGGAAGCGCCTCTTTGCCGAGGTACACGCGCTGAGCCCCGCGGCTGGGGCTCTTCTCTGACACACCGACACCTCCAAAAGCTCAAACTCCCCAAAATTCACACTGCAATTTCAAATCCCAATTTCAAATTCCACAACAGAGATATTCTTGCTTCTCTTCTCAAGCATCTAATCTATCACCCAGCCAACCAACTGCACTTTTGGAGCAATTTACCTGCCACAAATCGCCTGGAAACTTCAAAACTATCCAGTTTCACCTCCAAAACTGCTGGTGACAACGGACAGGCCAACACATCAACTCCTGTAATGTGCTACTAACTACAAGACTGCTGAGCCGCAACCTCCTCTGCCCTGTACCCTCTCACGGTCTTTCACCCTGACAGCCCGGCCTGTAGCTGGCAGTTCCCAAAGTCCAGCTTCAGTCCACATGTAGAGATCATCAGTGCTAAGGAAAATGCCCTTTTCCCGATTTCCTGCACCACCAGCCAGCCTGGTTCCTACTGCAGATCCCCGAGCACCGCCCCGACAAGGTGCTGAAGGATCTGAAGGCCTGGCACGTCCCGTTCTCACCCAGACTGACTGAACCGGACCCAGGAACGCGCCCTACAGAGCCCATCAAAGCCAAGTGGGGTTCACTCCTTCCATCAGTAAAAGAGCTGGGATGGCTGCGGGCAGATCCCTGCCCATTTCATGCATTTTATGGATTCACCTGCATCTCCACCCTCGGTGACAAGAGGCTTCCCAAGTCTGCCGAGTGCAAATCTAGCCATGCAGGATCTCCATGATGGCTCCGGAGCAGGAAGGCCGTGGCAGTCCGGCCGAGGTGTGATATTTAGGCTGACTGTGCCCCCGGGAAGCTGGTTAGGGATAACTCATTTAGCAAGGGACAACATAGGGCCATGCTCTGCAATGGGCCCAAGTGCTCAGGATAGAAGCGGACAGTGTGGAGGTACCACAGCCCACGACCTGCCTGCTCCTGCTTGCAGCCATTGGCAGAGTCCAATCTGGCAGCGTGGGGTCTGGCTGTGACAGGAGGAAAACCCGCTGAGCCCCTTCTGCTGCTCAGCCTCCTCTCCAGCTCCAGCTCTGCTCAGGCTTCTGTTCCCGTTTGCTCAGCCCTGGCTTCTGCAGTCCCTCCACCAAATCCTGCTCCTGTACTGAGATCTTCCCGGCCTTCAGCGCAGCTCTGGGTGCTGCCCCGCTGCTACGGCAGCGTATCCACTGCCCCCTGTAGTCCCCACTCTCAGCCTGCCTTGCCTAAAGCACCTGGATCCTCGCCCTGCCATGGGTGCCGGCATGCTCAACGACAGGATGTCTGCTGGGATGCAGAGCCCTGAGCAGCTCTACTCACAGAAAAGTGCTTGCTGGGTGAAGCCCTCGCCCTGGACAAAGCTTTCCAAAAGCAAAATGAAGCCACTTTCTAATGAGATGCAGCATACTACCAGTGTACAGTGGTATGTCAGAGCACAGGAAAGGGCTGGAGAGGACAACCCTGCTGCCAGAGCTCACAATCCAGGAGTGAGGAGGTGTAGGGGTGAAAATAGAGCCACACACTGGGCTTCCTCAAACAAACAGGGCTCCAAAATCAGCCCTGTGACCTAACCTTCTGCTCTTTGCTCTGGCAGCAACCTCTTCCACCTCCCATGGACCTATTCGTCCCTCAGACACTACCCTGACCTACATGCCACTTGTGCAGGGAAGGAAAAGCAGGAACAAGTTGTGGGAAAGAACATGAAGATGAAGTAAAACGGTACATGAGGGGAGGACAAGAGGTGGCCACAAACCAGCCCACCTCGCATGCAGCTGCAACCAAGTGCCTGGCTTTGGTAGCCCGACAAAGGAGCAGAGTCTGTGCAAGGGGGAGGGACAGGCATGATCGTTTACTGACCCAAATTATCCCCAGGGCTGAAATGTAGGCGCCTGTTGGAAAATCTTTTCCAGTCCCTCCAAAAAGACATCAGGACATACCACTCCTCCGGTTTGGGGTACACTGTGTGCCTTAGCGCGTTGTCTGGGTCATACTCGAAGGCAACACCTGCCGTGGGGTTCCACTTGGCGTGCTCCTTGCCAAAGCCCTTCTTGGCATAGGCTCGCAGCCTCAGCTCCTGGCCCTTCCGCAGCTTCACAATGAGGATGTCTGTGGAAAAGCACACGCCTGTTTGAGAAGGCTGCAGAGGAGAAATGAGTGTGCAGGACCACACAAGAGCAAAGGCAGGAATTTTTAGTGCTTGGGAAGATGCCACCAGAAGCCAGGGCTCACTTGGATTCCCTAAAAGGCCTCATCAGTGTCCCCAGAGTAGCTGGTAAACATCATTCTAAGTGAAAAGGAGTTGTATGTATGCCCAGAGGCACAGTTCAGGCCACTAAGCAACAGCAGACAGCACGGCATTTTGCATCTTTGCTGTCTCTAAGCTCTTACATGGAGAGAGGCACCCTCAGACACAGGGCTTCGAGTGGCATTAAGGCAGAGTACTAACCCTGCTGATGAGCAACGCCAGCGTCTCTCAACTGCCAGCTTTACAGCTGCCTTACTGATACACAGCTGGTAAAGGAAGAATGAGTTCAAAGAGCCTGAAAGAAAAAATTAGGCCCTTCTCCAGCTCTTATTCCCAGTGAAACACCGCTTACCGTCCTGCTCCACGTAGTCATTGGGGTCGTTGTCCCTGCTCCGAGATGTTACCTGCAGCAGAACAAAAGCCAGCAAATGAAAGGCATGCTCAACTTTTCTCCCCACATCAAACAGCAGTTGCCTACAAAAATTGGAGCCTGCAGAGAGTCACTCTGGAGTGATTTAAAGCAACGAATCGATCCCACCGTATGTAACAGAAATGGGGACAGTTCAGGCAGCTGCAGCCAGGTAGATCATACCCCGCTGCACAAGCCTGCTCGTCTCCCAAGCTGCTCGCCCACATGGGACACGGAGTGCTCCAGCCCAACACCGCTGCGTTTTCCGTAACACAGCCCAGAGTCCCACGACAGCACCTGCAGCCCCTCAGCCCAAGCGAGAGCAGGCTACAGCCAGGCTTTATGCAGGCAGACACTGTCACCAGCCACCAAAAGCAGCCCCCAGGTTGTGGTGACACACAGATGCAGCCTCAATAGCACTTTAAAACATGCATCTCTTCTGCTACGGCTCCACCAACCCTCTCCAAGGCGACTGGGCAAGAGCCGTTTGGTAGCAGTGCCCTGGGCCAGCCTCCTCACACCTTGTTGCGCTGAGAGCCAAGAACCAGAAAACCAGAGGCCTCTGGGTTGCTGTCAGGCCTTCAAAGAGCTGAGCGTGCCCGAGCCTAGCAGCAAACGGGCAGGAGAGCACAGTGACAGGGCAGCAGGACACAAACACACACACTCGGACTGTTCAAAGCCAGACGAAGGGGCTACACTAAAGATTCCCAAGAGTTTGAGAAGAGGGATGAGTCTTTAACAGGGCCAAACTGCTTTGACACTCCATCAGACTGCAAGTGAAGGACAGCAAGGCAAAGAGGAGCGCATTGGCACACACTGCTGTTTCTGTAGATATTCCTGCTTTGCTCCCCCATAAGTTTTAAGTGGGGCTTTAAGCAACATGAAACATGACTGAAGGCTTTGTTTTGTCCACATTCCATGTGTTTGCTACCCTGGCCTCAATGGGAGCGTAGAGAAGGGACCCACTGAGAAGCAGAGGGATTGCACTGACCGGTATGACCCGGGGGTTGTTGGAGATGAGATCGCGGGATGTGACGTGACGAGTCTGGTCTTCATTGCACCGGACGTCAAGGGTGAACTCCACAGAGCACTCTGGACAAAACTCATCACACGTGCAGTCCTGGGACAGAGACAGGTTGAGACCTCTACACCAAACCTCTCCCTGTAAGAATCGGTAGCAATTCCCATCAGACCAGACACCCACCACCATGAAAAGAAGCACCCACAACTCACTCTGGAATACTGCATCTTATCCACAATGTCATCGCTGGTGAGCGGGATGAGACCTGTGGGAAGAAGGAAATCAGGGGAATGTCTGATGGTGCTCAGGGGAGCGCCATCCCTCCTGCCAAGATGGGCAGGGGGACAGCAGCCTCCCCACAAAGGTGCCTCAGTGTCTCTGGACTCATTTCACCCCCGACCTCTGCCTTCCTGCACATCCTTTGTCTTCCTCCCCGTGCCCAGCACTCACCCAGGCGGTGCGCAATGAATTCATCGTGGAGCACCGAGGAGTTGGCGTCTATCTGGACCCAGTCGATGGCTGCAGAGAGAAGTCACGAGCTGAGAAATATTTCTCTGGGGAAAAGCCGGGGAGTTCGTGAGGGCACAAAAAACGTTATGGAGAGTGCGGCGAGCGGAGGCAGGTGAGTGGAGACAGGCTCCGGTTACACACGGGCCTGGCTAACCACGGGTGAGGCGAGCTGAAGGCAGCTTGGAGACGGAGGGGATAACGGAGGGGAAGGGATGGGAATAACGGGGGGCACGACCGAGGGACCGCGACCGCAGCTAAGTGAAAGGCGGTACCTATGATGGGGACTTCTGCGATGAACACTCTTCGAATGGAATTTGCCACCCTGAGGGAGAGAAACACCCGTGTTTAGAGGGAAGGCGGCGCGAGGACGCTGCGGCCTGAAGCAGGGACACGGGAAGGGGACACCCGCCGGGGCCCAGGCCCGGGCGTTGCTGCAGGCC